TTTCCTAGGCTCTGTCCTATGTTGGTCATGTGGAAATTTAACTTTCTTAGAAAAACCTGTTATATTTGGACACGTCATGCATAATATCACCGATAGTAATATTCATTATTTATCTTTACTTATTACGCATTGTAAATATGTTTTTGCTTATATAAAAGACAGTTAATTTTATTACCAAATTTTCCAGTTCCTTTACCAATTATAAACTCATTATTTCCGTAATTCTAAATATAAACAGATCAAATTAAGTTATCAATAGTCCAATTAATTTTCGGAAATAATTTTAAAAATAACCTATGTAAATTTTTAGTTGTGGAAAAATTATTTCAGTTAATTTACTCTTCTTGAGTTGATTTTGAGAAAGAATATATTGAAAAAACTTGCGTTAATGTAGTTATTGAATATATAATTAAAATAATTCTTTAAACTGATCTACTTTAAACATTTATTTCGGTAGTAATTTTTACAATGGAGACAACACAGGTGTTTGAACAATGCACAGTTCACACACCTGCATTCATTCTTGTTTTTCTCCTGTGTTTCTTCGACAAACAAGCATTTGTCTCAATCAATCAGTAATTATCATTGTCCTAATCGTTTTTCAATAATCACTCTCTTTAATCAACCTAAATAGGTTATTTATTGTAAAAAAAAAGAGAGGATAATTTCCTTGAACAGGATCAATTCCTCATAGGAAGAGCTTTTCGTGCGCGTAGGAGTTTACGGTGCGTCAGATCGATCATCTATTAAAAAATAATTAGAATGAAAGCTATACTGGACACCTGCCTGTTTGTGAAATTTATTGGTGAGCATTCGGCCTTTTTATGCAAATGATAAAACTTGTATTTGATGTGCTAGATACATAATAATTCAGTCATGTGATTTTTACATTCATCCAGCCTTGAGTCGGAAGACTGCATGGCTCTACCCATTCTCAACCTTGGCTCCGCTCCAGTTGATGTAAACAAGAAAAGTTTTCTCATTCAATGTCTATATCATCTCGTACTTCGAGAAACTATGATAAATATATTTCTAGAGGCTCGTAACAGGTAGGCTTAAGTTAAATTCTCAGCAAAATAGATATCGCTCAACCAACAATGCTCAAACAGAACAGGTTCGGTTTAAACGGGTATAAATTAGTGGATGTTAGATCATTACTTCGGAGTTGCTCTATGACCATAGGCAAACAAAACCACATTTTAACCCGACATAGGATTCGACTAATCCTACATCTTAGTGGGAGGGCTCTGTGTCCCTTGGGGCAAGTTGGTCGAATTCGGGACAAACTAACTTCCTGTATACAAATCCCTAGACGCTTAATTTATAATCTAGCCGTAACATGGCGCTCCACTCGTCTGTAATTACTGAGTTCAATGACATTCTACTGCACCTGCTATCCCGACCCAGTTTAGAATTTAACCCCCTTTGCTTCTTAGGGTCAGTTGGACAACCAAACAACATCAGAAAGCAATATTTATCTTTTTGAAATCATCTTAAGTATATAGTTACTTGAAAGAAACGAGGCAAGGAACTAGACAAGACTACTTATTGATTACTTAGAGATTTCTCAGACCTGAATGGGGTTTCACTGCTTTACATGATGAATCATGCAGGAGAAGCGCACATCAGGACCATTTCTTCAATACGGAATTGTTACTCATTGCATTTACAAATCTTTCTTTTAAGATCGAACCAGTCTATTGTACATTGATAAATTTTCTATCAGAGATCTTCAAAAGATACTATTAAGGTTCAAAAGTGGAAATTTCTAAACTTTCTCAATTTATTGTTGAATACAAAAATTTATTAAAGCATTATTTAAATGAATGTTGATTACATTTACAGATTTATAACATTATCTTTCAAATGCTAACAATAGAATTAAAAAACAACGATTATTATCTCTACACTCGAGCAAGATTTCCCACTAAATCCATCATAATTGCAATTCCACTTGTATCCTATTTTCATTTTTGCACTGTTTATGCAGGTTAGAACTAGGTTGAAATTAAAAAGTGTTAAATAGATTATTTTAATCCATTCAATTTATTATTATTTTTAGGAAAAAACATTTTATTTGAACTCATTCTTTGAGTTTATTAAGATTTAAAGTAAAAGCACGTCTCAGCATTCGAAAATGACAAACTACAAGCTATTCAACTCACTGGTTTCGATAAACTGTTCAGAATTTGAGACAAAATATATTTTATTTTCATATTCAGCTGTATTTTTCACTTAGAATTTTAATTTAATTTACTTTGATATTAACTTGAATAGAATGAGAATAATAGAAGTAGTACATATATAATGACATAGTCATTAAATATTTTCTTTTTCTTTATTATAAACAAGAAAGATTTATTAATTAAAAAGATAAAATTGCATCTTTATAGTCAAAGCAAGTAAATACTTTAATCAATAAAAATGAAAAGTATAAACATGGTTATGTAAATAATTCCCGTACTACAGTTAAATATTTTATGAGCAGAAAACCTTCATAAAGAGAAGTTAAAAAATTACTTGGCAATAGTTCATGTTGTAAATTAATACAAAAATACAAGCAAGATGAATATGAAATTTTTCTACTCATTAGATTTTTCTGCTTACATTAAATTGAACTTCCATTATTTTGTTTTTGGTTAAAGCTACGAGCTGTGTTGTTTGTAAAACAAGACCTATGTATTAAACGTTCATAGTCATTTATTTTAATGCAGTGTTCTAGCGATAAAGTATTGGTGGAGTTCAAATGTCCCAAACAAAGAAAAGAGTAATGTTAGTCATAGAATGGGAGGGAGTTAGTAAAACATTTATTCCTCGAATGGCCTAAAAACCATTTTGCATGAACGCCCCTTCGTTTACAAATCTTCACTCCGTATTTTTGATACTGATATTCACTTTAAACTTTATTCGTGAGCATATTTTATTTACATAAAATCTAAAAACTTATATAAATGGAGCTTGAAATAATGAAATAAATAAAAATATCAATTTTAATTATTTTTAATGCAAAAGTTTCTACTGTAAAATATATGATAATAATTTAAATTTTACTTTTATTTTAATATTTCATAACTTAAAACATTGACTGACTCAGAAGTGGGAAGTTTCGATTTAGGTTCTTACAAATTAATATGACCGTAATGAGCATATTATCATCATCATCATCATCTACAAAAATAGACCCTTTTCTTTTATTTATTCCAACAAATTTTCGAGCATATTATTAAAGCAGTAATTAAACTTTATTATTTTCTAAGGATAAAATACATAAATTTAATTTTTATAAATGTTATGAAAAAATGTTTGAAATAAAAAAATAAGTTAAAAATTCTATTCTGCACACGCGAATGTCTTTTTATTGTCATCCTTTGCACAGAAATCAAAAGAAAAAAACAAGTAATTTAATGTTTCTCAGATCTATTAAAACTAAAGATAATTAGTGTCACTGTGCAAATCATTGATTGCTGTTTACAATATATATTAACCTACAGCGAATACAATTAAATATGGGTATGAGAATTACAAATGTTGTTCATCCAAGACGAGATCGATTAATGATGTTCGGAAGACAGAGAACCATCTGAATACCATTATTCTCCCCTCTTCTAATGTCATCGATTTTAAAAACAAATGACAATTAGAGGTGAGTTTTTAATGGGTCGTAGGAGACGTCGAGTCTACAGAAGACTGCATTGAGGTCAGTAGTATCGGGAGTAAGGATGGTATCCTTCAAAGGGCCATTTCCTGACGCCAATGCTGTCCCTTATCTCTTAACCTTGACTGTTTGCGTGTGACTGGGTGACATAACACAGCTCTTGTTTCAACAGAATAAAGTCGCACACATACTCACACACACCTGCTACAAGTATATACCATTGTTTTAAGTAAGTACACGAAAATATTCCTTTTTATGAAATTCTTTAAATAACTCCGCGGTATTCAAAGAAGTCTCGGAATCAGATTTGATTGAAATCTAGAATTTTAACAATAATTTATGTTTTTACTTTAATATAAGTAGTTAAAGAAACTGTACATTAAATATACTTTTAGACAATGAACGGTCTAAACGCTAAATGTGATAAAAACAATTACTTTAAAGGTATTTTTTTCTTAATTTTATATATATATATATAGCCTATATAAACTGTATAACGGATCAGACAGATAAATGAGAAAAACATTTTCCAAGAAATGACGTAATAGTCTCTGTGATATGATGTAAAATGAAAATAATTTCATTGTTTTATGCTAATGACTTTATAAAAAAAAACAAAAATAAAAATAAAAAACACAATAACTTCGAAAACAAATTAAATGCATGTTATTTATGAATATGTAATATTTTAAAATAATTATATGCTTGATTCTACTATTCTTTTTTAACTTAGAAATAATATTTTCGATATAAATAATATATCTCTTTAAAGTTGACATTTTAATTTCAAACAATATGTGTATAAAACAATATTATTATCTGGAGACAAGCCACAATGTTTGTACTGTGTAGAGCGAAATATTAATATATATGATATATATACACAAGTTTTTAAAGCTTATATCGCTTGAAATTATGTTGTTTTATTAATTGCACTTTTATTAGTTTTGTTTTATAACATATGTAGAAGAATTCAATTTTTTAAAAAGAGAATATGAGTTTTTAATGTACTGTCGTAATTTATGATTATTTTCTCTCTATGTAAATTTAATGGGGGAAAAACCCGCTTTAAATTAATTTTCTTGTGTAAAAATCAGTGCGTACTTTCACAAAACAGCAGAAGAAACGAGTGAAAGAACTAAACCGCCAACATCCCTGACTAACGTCCACGTCGAACACCCAATCGCATTTCTACGCATGCTCTCTGAGGTTTTAATCATGTGACTGTTACATATCAGTGACCCCTACCGGCGTCCGAAGTAAATATCGGCACGCAGTCAGGCAGGTTTCTCGACCGGTGATTGGCCAAATTCTGAAAGAGCTCCGTCGGGGAGTGATGGGATTCGATACATGTTTTTCAAACTATTTTATCTGAAATAAGTGTCAATTTACGTCGAATTTCCACATATGTTATCCTAGTAAATTGGGTAATTTTTCTAGAACAGTGGAAAAGGATGTAGTTTATATGTATGTAGTATAAAGTTTGATCGTAGGTCGAGAATCCCCGCGGTTCTCTGGAGTATCGGCATTCTCTGGTTTACTCGAGAGTTGTGCTTCGTGCGAGTTGTTCGCGAACTCGAGGTGAGCCTTGAGTTGTGAATGATCGGGATAAGTGGAATGGAAATATAACTCGATGCCATGGATTGTGTATTTCGTAAACGAACGCGGAAACAATAAATTAAATAAGGTAAGTTAGAAATAGAGTTTGATGTATATTTATGTGAGTGTCTGAGGAGCGATCTGCAGAAGCTACACGACCCGTCCCGTCTACTTGTTGAATGCTTCTCGCTGTCTGCAAAAATGTTCGAGTTTGCTTACATATATGGAGAAGCGCGCTATTTACATTAAATGATTTTTTCTTAATCCCGTAAATAAGTCGTAAAGAACTTAACCAAGTAAGAACTGTTAGGAAAGCTTTGCCTGCAAGTTTACCAAATATCCATTCTCGTGGATATATTTACCTATTAATTTTCTTTTGCATCAGTTTTTTGGAACGATGGTTTGTAAGATTCGTTGCCATCATCACCCAGCAGGGAGGCCTGGGTAAGACAAGGAGTGAGTTTTGCTTGCTCGTGCTGACAAGAGAAAATTGATAACTTAATCCTAAGATCATACGCGATAGAAGAAACACGGCGTGTGTATTCTTATCGTCCTATAATTAAATTGCGGTTCGGTTTGCAAATTCGAACGGATGTTGTACGCATGCGCAAAGCCAACTTAAACTTCAGATGTTGATGGAAACGGCATGTGCTCCACCGAGAGATTGCCCAGTGGCACCTCCCGCGTGCGACTACTGCTCCGGATTAAAAAAATGCACCATCGAATCTGTCAGCGGCAGAAAGGATGTGCGACGAATCATTCCCTTATACGACTGTCATTAAATTTTTAATTCGATATTTGAGATATTTTTCTGTTTATGGGATATTATCGAAGACAATCGAACAATTTAGACAATAAATAAAAATGCAACAGATGAAATATAAGCCCATGTGTGCGACTTTTTATCTCACTGCCTTAACAATTCGGGGTTAATGGAAAGAACTGTCCATCTTTCTGTACGAATTCGTTTCTGGCAAACTCGTAGCACCGGCCTTTTGTGGTTTATGTGACATTTTTATAGACGTTAATCTTCGGAGACCGGTCGAAAGAGAAACAGGTGCTACATAGCCCTATATCGACGACAGAAAATGTATCTCAATACTCGACAGGAAAAAAAAAAGAGTAATAACGAAGGAAAATTTAGTAAATTGTTGATGTTTGGATGCCAATTATTTGTGGGAGTGTTCGGGGTTTGTCTTTAATGATTTTCAATGTCTTCTTGAATGGATTTATTCTTTAATTTCCAAAACTCTTATAATTTTTTAGTTTAATAGATTGGATTTTCAGGATATTTTGAAAGTCGTCGATTTTAAAGCGTTTCATTTTAAATAATTATATGGTAATTAGTTTCATTTCTATCACTCACTTCAGTTTACAGTTGAAGATAAGTAAAGAAAAATCAATAAAAATAAGCTCGAAGATTTAACACTTACTTTTTGTATACCACTTGAAAGTTGTTTATCATCAAGTGCTGATATGGTATCTTTATTTATTTTATATAAATATATAGCTCTTATTGTATAGAATAATAGATACAGTTGTGAGAGTTTAAATGCATATATTTGAATAAATTTATTTCTAGAACTTATCGTTAATACGAATACTTAAAATATGCGCTTTTAATTTAAATAGAATTTAAAATTTTTTTTAGTAATTTAAATAACAGTGTTAAATAATATCCCCAAATATTGTGTTGAATATTATAATAAGGAAAGTTTTAGTCAGTTTACAAATATAAGTGATTGTATTATGTGGAAATTTGTTTGTTATACATTGTCATTTAGCGAATTTAAATAATAGTTAGAGCTAAAACAAGGAAGTCAGATGTCTTTTGGGCATCTGATTTCATCCTACACTTCTCAGAAACATCCTTAATCACAATCATTAAACATACATTTAATGGGCGCAACGTGATGAATAATTCAGTTCTCTATTCGATATGACAAAAATCTCAACATTTTCCGTTTCGATGCGGTTTCAAAATAGAAAATTTCTATAAAATCGGTTGTATATCATTTGGCAACGCAATATTTTGAAAGTTTACAACCCAAATAAGTTGCTGCTACTTCAAAAACAGACCATTTTACAACTGGCTATTCATCTGCTCCCGTGCTGTCAGAGGGATCATGACCTTCTTGTTTGGCCGAGCTGCTCTTTTTACTCCAGTTCGTGATTTTCGAGTGCAAACCACCCAGTATGCAAAAACTACACTCGTCACGTTTTCTAATTTTACTGCTGCTTTTGAAAAAATTATCTTTAATTAAACCAACACGAGACCTTTTTACTTTTTCATCAAATTCAAAAGATTTTTCTCTATAAAAGCTCCTAAGAGCAGTTATAATTTCTTTAATAATTATTCAAAATTTATGGATTTTGATAGATAATTAATTAAAATAGCGAAAGAGCAAAGTTGAAAGAGCAAAAACCAAAGCTTAAAAGATGAGATATAGGAAATTCAAATCCTTTGTATAAGTTAATAACGTCTAATTTAGATCGAATTACGTCATAAAGAAGGGTTGAATATATTCCTGCAGATCGCTTCTTTTCAATTCAGTTGATGCAAAGTTAATCGTACCAGAAGCCGGATCCCACAAGAAATGTCTCCACCCCAATACAGTTTTGGATTTATATACTAGGCATGCGCAATTCACGGACACGAAACGTCTAGACTTTGGTAACTATGTAGAACCTGTTTGGCCATCATTAGAGCACAAAATGTGGTCCCCGCATCATCATTAGGACGCTGAACCACGTGATGGCTCGGGATCTAAAACCGGAGCGATTACAAATCCCAAAATAACTACGCATAGGCTCCATTGGAGAAGTATAGTGTCTTTTAGGTTCTTCCTCTCGGAGTTTCAAATGTCCATAGAAGGCAGCAATGACATATTGACCCTTTTCCGACAGATGGTCTTGTTTACGATCGTGTTTGACAAAGACGGGTTGGCTTTTAAATTCTCTTCTTGGATAAAAATCAGTCTTAATCGTACGTACTGATTGATTTGTAGTCCTTGATTTATAATATAATTTTATTAATTGAGCGTCATATTTTTGAGAACGTTCTCTTCAGAACTGTTTCCGAACTTTCCATTGTCAGGGTGAGCCATTTCGTTTATTGTTTGTCTCCTGCCTACACGAATGGGTTTGACTGGAAAGTTCACGGTGACAATACGCATCTCGGGATACGGTGACAGCTACTGGCCTTCTACTGGACTCGTGCTAGACTCTTTGTGTTAAAAGAATCAGCACATAGAATTCTTATAAATAGTGTTTTTCTCTACTCGCTTTCCACACACGCCATACATTTCGGTAACAGTAATTCGATATATGTAAATATATAAAATATAATTTTTGAAGAATAAATCTACGAGGGCAAAAAAATAAAGGCAAGGGAAACAAAACAACAAATGGAATTTGATCGACGCTGTAAATAACCTGGAAAGAAGGAAGAGGATTTTAAAAGAAAAGCACGAAAACTGTGTTGTTGAAGAAATAATGATTAATGGATACAATTTATTAATATCTTTCGAAATGCAGAAAAAAAATGAATGGTCCGTTTCATTAAACCTGAATTATCACGAAAATATTTAAATATACACCCGAATTACGACGACAATTCAGTAGTTTTACAAGTTACGCGATTTAAAAGCGAGAAGGCTCCGTGCAGTAACTAAGTGAAATTGGTGTGTGGGGACTAATAATTTTGTAGTTCGTGTCGGGAAGTGACAGAATAAAATCTTTGTTCATGATTATAATGCGGTAGTGTTCGTCGATTGCATTCCTAAATGATGTTCGTCAAAACGACAGCTTTACTTGAACATGTTATATAATTACTCCCGTCTAGACAGATTAGAGTAAAGTTGTACACGTTAATTGAAAGGTCATAGTTTAGATGGAAATAACTAAAATGTACTTTGTGTGCAGCCTAGAAATGTATCTAATGAAGTTTCTTTAATGTATATTGAGGAAAGAATTAATAAAAATTCAATTATCTCTTTGATGATTAATTTTTAAATACGTTGGTCGAGTAATTAGATGGGGTAGATGAGTGAGGAATATTTTAAAAGTTATAAGGTGAATTATTATGGTATTGGAAAGATATAATGAAGTTTACTCGACGATGTTAGTTAAGTAAGATATCCAACATTTATTTGAGTGCAATGTATGGAAGTCGAATTCCGAAATATCAATGGAATGGCAAAAGTCTCATTCTTACTGGTCTGAGGTCAACGACTTGGACATTAACGTTCCAAATCTATCATTGTTGAAGAACTTTGCTCTTCCCAATTGAGATCTGTAGCCGAAGGGGCCATTTTTACTTTTGAAATATTGATACTTGTTTATACAATAATTTTACTTGTTTGGTATTGGCATTAATCTTTAAAACGACGATTTCAAAATAGTTTTTATAATTATTTTACAAAAGCATTGTCTAGGCTACCTAGATTCTACTTAGGAAGGCCTACATTAAACAAGTTAAAACTTTATTGAATAAATTGAGTTTTTAGGGTGTAATATTAGGGTCAAATATCTATTTTTAATAATATATCTTCTGCAATAATATCGAATGTATATTTTCTTTTAAAATAGGAGAGTAGTTTTTAATTGATTCCAAAACGCGATCTTCTAGCTCTTCTTTAATTTGCTATACAGAGAATATTCGAGGAAAGTACACGAGGATGATGTGACGGATAACACGTGACCGACGCGTGACGTAACTGTGGGGGAGGTAAAGGATTCCTCCGATCCGGCCACCCCGGGGTCATAGACTAGCAGTTGTGTTGTGGGGCACGGCGGGGTCTCGAACAGTCAGGATCTGTTTATGTGACGTCCGCAGACACTAATCCGTCCACTGTCTAACTGTTTACTCTGTAATAGCGGCTTGCTGTTACACCTTTCGCTGTTACAAAGGTAGGATTGCTGGGCTTCTCTTTTATGATTGTGTAAGGCTGATGCTAATCGGCTGATCACCTTTATTTAATATATTAAGATAGGTTAAGACGTTAGCGTTGAATCGAGTGCACAAATGAAATTATCAGTAGAATAACTTTTGATTTTATGAATTTACTTAGCTATAAATTATTTATATATTGATTTATACGAAATGATTTCATTTAACTGTAAGTTTAATCACGATGTTAATAGTAAGATAAAACTTGAAAGAAAATGACCGAAGAGATTCCATAATTGTCATATTTTATTTGTTTTTTCGTAGGATTTTAATATTTAGAATTTCATTTATCTCAATCAAAAAATAAAACAGCAATGTATCATTTTCCTTCTTTTCTTAATTCTTAATCAAACAGGCTTTTGTATACATTTTAAAATCAAAATCAAATCTGTATGTTTGATTATTCATTTCGATCGAGTGTATCCGAAAGCTTTAAACAATATAAGCTAACTTAGGCCAAACTTAAAATAATCGCTGTTTTTGAGTAAAAAAAAGTATTATTAAATCTATTAATAACATGTTATTAAAAGTATAAATATATAATAGATTTAATAGTAGATTTTTACCAAAACTTGATTGTTAGCGATTGATGACACATGATTGAAAGTATCTCATTTTTAAAGAGATTTTTTTAATAACAACGTTTAAAGTTATGCAAAGTTTTATTTTATGCACAAAGATTTTTGAGATTCTATTTTAAGAATATAATATGTATATCGTATGAAAAGATTACAGGAGACGGTGAAACTTGCGAACCGAATCTCAAAAAGTGGGCTATTATTTACGGTCGAAGCTCGAGAATCGATTTAAAAAAGAAACTCATTGATCCCCTTTTACATTCTCCTCAATCGTCTCTTTTATACCTGAATGATTTCTAGACAAAATAATTTAAGATCTTTATTTTTATATCATTAATTATAAAGGGTGGTTTACTTTTATCATCTTTACTTTTTCTTTTAATAAATAGAACTAATTATCCAGAAATATTCGAAAACAATTTATACTAAATTTCGATAACATTCCCCGATATCAGAAAAATCCAAGTGCTGCTTAAATTTCTTAAACGCCCAACGGGGGCAATGGCCCCCATTACAAGCACGGCTTTAACACATATGGAAATAATTTAACAAGAACAAGGATTCTTTTTAAGAATATATCGCCATTCTATTTATCTTTCGTATGGAGGAGATATATGGACACGTCAACTACAATTTACAGTGAAAAAAACTACATATGCTGCTCTTAAACCGTGATTAAAACAACAATAACTTATATTTTAAAAACATGTTTTATTTTGTTATTAATTATTTGATATCTTCTTGTATTATAAAAATTATAGTTCCTATTTATAGAATTACAGCACTTTAATTTGAGGGAAAGTTTGCACTCTTACGTTTAGTATATAAAATATGTGTACAGTACGTATATGTATGTATGTATGTGTGTGTAAAGTACGTTTAGTGTAATAAAATATGTATCAAGGAACGAAAAACAATCGTAATGAATTTGAAACGAAACTTCACCATTGAAATAAACACGCAAGAAGATATTAAAATATACTATTTCAAGCATTTGCATCGTTATACGTCAAAACGAGCTAATTTGCATAATTATATATCATTTAAATCGATAAAAAAGCAACATCTATATAGTGTTCCCTAATTTGTGTTCCTCCATCTGTCCTGATAAAGAAACACAAATTGGAAGAATTACAATTTGACTTCATTATAAGGTCGCACAGGGGGCGAAACATTAAAATTCGATCTGATGGATCCCATCGGGAGTTTTACAATTATGATATGCACCTCTTTCCCAAGCCAAAACTCCGATTAACGGTATGCTAATAAGAGTATAAGGGATCTTTAGATTCTGTTTTGTTAGCTTATTAACACATCAAGAGCGAATTTTGCATTTTTGCGGAGGTCACAATCGATAATTCCGCGAGTTCGACCAAATTGCTGTGAATAGCTGGAAGCGAATGCGGCCTCGAGGATTGTTTCTTTTGACAGCTTCAACCCTTTCAGAAGAGGGAAACAAATGGACTCACCTCGCAGCAATTCAAAATACATACGAAGTGTTCCCTCCATCTTGGTTTGACGAGATAACATTCATTGTTCATAGGACTGAAACAGGGGTGAGAGGATACAGTGTGCCACATTTACTGCCTTCCGGGTGAGTCCATTTTTCGTCCTTTATTAGTAAAGAAGGCACCCCTAGTTGAACTTGTCAGCTGCAAATCAGAATGGGGATGTAATGACACTTATTTCTGAATCTATTTGTCATGGCGGTAGTCCTTTGTAAGAGTGGAAGACGTCTTTGTCCTTAAAAAGATTTTACTAATTGTTTTTTGACAGCTAATTTCATTTGTAGGTCTATGTAAGTTTACATCGAGAGAATCTCTCAAAAGGAATTTGTCTAAAAAGGTTCATCTATCTGTTCGGCTTCTTTCACAGAACACCATTTAGAAACATAATATAAAATTGTACGTGTATCAAAAATTTTCTCACCGTACTATCCACAATCAACTTTTAAAAGTTGTTTCCCGAATTCAATATTAATTTAAATATTAATAAATATATTACTTTATCGATTTAAATTATTCATCGAATTTTATAATAATAAACTCGAATGTAAGAAATTATTTGTAAAAAGCGATGCAAAGAACAAATTGAACTTGGGAACACTTGTGAAATTTGAATGGCTCCTTTGATTTGTAACCAAGCACCAAAATCACAAGCCTATTTTTTGTGTACAGCTGTCTGAGGAGAGATTCGAAGTATACAAAGAAACCAAACAGCTTTAAGTCCTCTTGACCTTTAAATTATCTGATATTACTGTCTGATTGATTCTTCCTTTCGGTTTAGTGTTTAATATTGTTTGCTTCACACACATGAATAAGTGTAATAAAACTGTCTACGTTCTCTAAACAACAAATTGGGTACATTATATAAAAATCAAAAAATAGACATACTTAATATGTCTAGATGTACAGATTAACAATGAAGTGTTATGTATTGTTTTGCCTGTAGTGAGCTGTGCTGAGTTTGTTTCGTCTTCAGAGCGCTTCCTTTCATGTTTGGAAGCCATTTATTCTTTGATGACTACTTACATTTGCTTGTTACTTATTTCAACAATCTTTTTGCGGTTTTAAAAATTCTTTTCTTTCATTCGCAAGACAGTCGTATATTTAAGATTCTTTTGGATTGAAAGAAAAGATTCCTTTGCATTTTGCACGAACATTATTAGCAACTCCTCTTTCAGATGCCTCTCAAAGGAACTACGGGAGAAAAAAGTCTTTAAACCGATTTCTCCCGTTAGATTTTCGACACGCCTGACATCAAACTTCAGGACATGCAAAGGTCCGACTGGCCCCCGGAGATAAGTTTGGGGTTTTACCCCCATTTCTGTCCCCAGATAGAATGCGAGGACAATATAAATAACTGTGGCTCACGCAAGGGTTAAAGAAAAGTTTTTACAACTCTCATCACAGACCTCCCAGTACCCAATAGCTTTGGGGCAAAATATATAGGCTCTCTATTTTCCTCCCTTTAGCAATATACTTTTTCTTCCGTTTTTGTTTAAACGGATGCGATACAATTGAAATTAGTCTTAAAATTTTAAAAGGATATACAGTACAGTACATAATAGAAGTTTACGAACACCAAAAGAGATTCTAACAATTACGTGTTCAATAAAAACTGTTTTCTTGCACTTAAGACCAAAATGAGAATCTTATCTGCCGAGATTTCCTCTATCAGTCAAATGGCACATACAGGTTTTGCAATAAAAATTTGTCAGAAAAAACATGTAGTCCTGATCCCGAAATTATATTGGAAAGCCAATCTTATCTTTCAAATGGACGAAGAAATCTAAGTTGGATGAACAATGAATGATCCAAGTTATCGTCATGGAGTGTGAGATAGTGTCTCACAATAAAGATTTTCAAGGCTCACTTTCATTAGTTGATAGAATAGATATACTTTTCTTTTAAGTCGAATTTTAAATCTTTTTTGATTATACAAGTTTTAATTTAATAATTCTCTAATAAAACTGTTTTTATTTTCAGAATGTAAATGTTAAAAGAAGATAAAAATGTGATGCGCCCCGAATGTTGGATACAAAGTATATCAAGTCTGACGACGTGTTCTGTGCCCCGAGATTGAACTAGTGACATTATGGAGGGCGTGCGGAGGTGGAGATGGACCGTTATCTTCTGTCTGCTGTACCATTTGGCCCTAGCAGAATATCTACAGGAATTCGAGATCTCGGAAGGTCTGGGTACGGGCACTACCATCGGATACATCGGGCATAGTAAACAGGGTCTTCCCAAACCACCGCCGCCTCCTTACCTTATCGTACCTGTTCCAGGAAGTGCAGTGGATTCCGATTTGCACATAGATCAGTCGACGGGAGAAATTCGAACCAATATTGTTCTAGATAGAGAGGTTAGGAGTTATTATTCCTTTGTGGCCATTCCTCTCAGCGGCGAAAATGTGCGCGTAGTGATTAAAGTGCGTGACGAAAATGACAATGCGCCCGAATTCCCAACGCCTTACATGTCGATCGAATTTCCAGAAAACACTCCCAGAGATATGAAAAGAACTTTAAATCCCGCGAGGGATAGAGATTTGGGAGTTTTTAACACCCAAAGATACGAAATTATATCTGGTAATGTTAATAATGCTTTTCGTTTATCTTCTCACAGAGAACGAGATGATGTACTCTATCTGGATTTACAGATCAATGGATTTTTGGATCGAGAAACTATACCCTTTTACAGCATCGTGATCGAGGCCTACGATGGTGGCATGCCCCCTCTAAAAGGTTCTATGACGGTAAACATTACCATTCAAGACGTGAATGATAATCAGCCTATATTTAATCAGAGCCGTTATTTTGCAACTGTGGCCGAGAATGCCACTGTAGGTACTAGCGTTCTCAGGGTATTTGCTACCGATACTGACTCTACAGAAAACGGACGAATCACCTATTCAATAAATCGTCGACAAAGCGATCGGGAAAATAAATTTGCCATAGATCCAGTGCGAGGTGTCATTTCTATCAATAAACCACTCGATTTTGAATCACGCGATGTCCACGAATTAGTGGTAGTAGCGCGTGATAATGGCGCACAACCATTGGAAACCACCGCATTTGTATCCGTTAGAGTCACCGATGTAAATGATAATCAACCCACTATTAATTTGATCTTTTTAAGCGATGATGCGTCTCCCAAGATTTCCGAAGATGCTCGTCCAGGAGAATTTGTCGCTCGCATCAGTGTTAATGATCCCGATTCAAAAGAAGAATATGCAAATGTCAACGTTACGTTGCAAGGTGGCGATGGCCATTTTGGGCTCACTACTCAAGACAATATCATTTACTTAGTTATAGTTTCTCACCCGTTAGATAGAGAAGTTAAACCAAATTACACTATGGTGGTGACTGCCACCGATCAAGGAAATCCCCCTTTAAATACTTCACGCACGTTTGAATTAAGTGTGACAGATACAAACGATAATGCACCCGAATTCGATCAAACCGTATACTATGCGAATGTCTTAGAAGTGGCCGATCCGGGCACTTCCGTTTTTCAACTTTCAGCTTTGGATCGAGACGAAGGGAACAATTCTGTGATTACGTACTCCATCAAAGATACGCCGGAGACTCATTCGCAATGGTTTCAGATCGATAGCAGGACGGGTCTCATCACTACTAGAACTCACATAGACTGCGAAACCGATCCCATTCCTCAAATTACGGTCGTAGCTAAAGATGCGGGTCCCACGCCTCTCTCTTCTAGTGCCACTGTAGTAGTTACGATTAGTGACGTCAACGACAACGAACCCATTTTCGATCAAACCTTTTATAACGCCACCGTATTGGAAAGTGATAAAATTGGGACGTGTTTTCTCAAGGTAAGTTCGAATTTTATGGTTTACTTTAAGAATTCGACCACCGTATGGTTTTTATGGAGCACGGTTTTAGAGATTACTGTATCGTCTTCATCGCACGTGAAGTATGTTAGAAATCCAAAAGTTATCCACTTGATTGGTAATGCTGTCGTTGGGGTTCGAGACAAAGCCGAAACTCCCAATGACCCTTTTTATACTATTTTTTAGCGTCGACTGTTAGCGTTATACCTTCCCCAAGGCGCTCTTCAGGTATGCTTGGTATTAGAGAAGTGAGAGACCTAATGTAGACCCACGACTCGGTTTGGCCTTGAGACGGGAACGTGCGGTCATCTCCATGGTTACCGTCGCAGCGTGACATTAATTAGTAGGGACTGAATGAATTACAACTGCGACCAATTAAGTATCGGCCCGCAGAGGGTCGCGGGCCTACCACGTTTTCCGCGTATTTTCCTTAATAAAATCCAATAGCGTTTTAAATGCAGTGATTTAAAATTAGCAATCCAATCGAAGAATTTCGTAATGGTTGGTGATTTTTATCTTCGTTAGAATTGGATTATAGAACTTGGAGTGAGTCAAAAGAGCGATATTTAAATTGCGATGATCCTTTAGAGATTCGCCGCTGTTCGATTGAGTTCTGTTATCTGAGGATTAGGAGGGCTGATTAGCAGCAGTTTCCTTTTGACCTCCCAAGGACGATTGTCAATCCCCTACCATTACTTATTAGCTAACTACTGCACCATGCAGAAGAACGGACACGAATTGTACTACCCAGAGCTGAGCGGACACCGTCAGCGGTAGGAGGAGACTAAACCGGTTCCAGCACAGTTTTTTACACAAAAATGTTCGAAATTATCTTTCCCCCCATTTTAGTGTTTACTACCCCGGCTTGAAAATTTTTTATTATTTTTCCCCTTTTCCCCCACAGAACGCCTACGGTTTGCAATTTGGTGACTCTAATTTTAGTCAGCTCCAGAACATAGTATTTCTAACTCGAGCCTATTTTGGCATGGTGCGCCACTTTAGGTTTAATAAGCTTTCGAAAATTGATACGGTAGCTTAAATATATATCGTTCTAGTTTTCGAAATGGTAAATCGTATAATTTACGCAGGCAAAAAGAACTTAAAACAAGCTCAATCTGTTAACGATGTGGAGAATCGAGCACCATCTCAACAGGTTAGAATGGGTTTAACAGAAGCGGTAGTGCACCTCGTCGTCTCGCAAGCAGGAAGAGTGTAACGGAAGAGCCAGTACTGCACGCTTGGTCGTCATACTCCAATATTTATTCCCGTCGGGCCACTTGTCATTCTGTTTGCGTCCTGCGCCGTAAGCCAAGCCTGAGGGAGCACAACCGCATAGATTGACTGCCCCACCCGGCCTTGCGGGGTCTCTGACTTAAGTAGGGCATATGAATTCTGTCTGCGGGATACGATGATCAACGGGAGGGGTTAAACGATTAACTCTGCTTAGTCCCGTCTTATATTAAGTGGAGGATTAAATATTTGCTACTTCCTCTTTAACCGATTAACCAGTTTAAATCCCGTCTAATCGATTTGTTTTCGGTTCGGAAGAGTATAATCGAATTGCAAAAGAATTCTTGTCTTGCAGAAGTGTCGATCAGACTTAATGAGTTTTCGGTGATAGCAGACCGATCAGGTATGCGATGCCATTATTCCCTTAAGGAGCCTCGTTTCTCGAGCGACCACCGAGATTTTCTTTAAACTTTTTCTCTGAAAGATATGCAAGAAAGTTGAGGAATTTACCAATGCTTATTACTTTAAAAATGGCATCGTGGATAAAAGATGAGCAAGAAAAACGGGATTGGATGATAACCGGATTCTAAGATAATTTAAGTTTAAAAATTAAAGAGGAATGCGTATGGACGGTGAAAATCGCTATAATGATTCGTGTGCTAATGTTACAGCTTGATTGGCGTCAATCAAGGTTGTGAATCATCTTGGCTTTCGGTTATTAAACTCGTTTAGACTCTCGTTAACGCCCAATTTTTCCGATGTACGCTAAAAAAAAGCAACTAGGCACATGTTAGAGAAATTTTATTTTCTGTAAATTTTCCTTTTTTCTTCTCATTTAACTTCTTTACACTTCCATCCGGAGGATTAACTAAAATTATCACTTATATCAATATCGTCCTTTTCAAAGACCTTTATGCAATAACATATGTGTTTGTTTTGACTTGGTAATGCATTCGAGCACGAAATTTTGACATTTTTATCCAGTCGCAAATGTTACCGATAAGGCCCGATGACTAATTTTGGATGAGTGTTCTTTCCGAGTTGCGCTTGTGGTGGCGTTCGCTGGTGATTAATGTCCTTTACACGGAATCACGTGACATACCAAATCCACCGAGTCGATAAATCAAAGAGGCTCATTGAAACCATTTGCAATTCTCATCCCGTCCAATCAATTGCTCTTACGTATCCGGACGCATTACTGCACTTTTCATTCCTTGCGGAGTATTTCTCCCCTTCTGCTTTTCAAACGTGCATCTGCATAAATAGAGGCAGGACTCTGATCTTCTCTTCTCCAGATGGATTACGTGGAAAATTCGCCTGCATTTTCAGTAGCCGTAAAGTGTTAAAAATAAAATTTGCAGCTCAAAACTTAATAATATATTTTTTTTCATTAAATGCATGAATATTACATTATTTGTTTGCTAGAGGTCATTTATTTCTCTTTAGATGCAGACTGTTTTTGTTAGGAGATTGATTCGCAATTGCGTGGAAATTAGAATCAGAAGGAGGAAAAAAACAAATGTCATTTTCGTCATGCTATTATGAACCAATTTCGTAGTCAAAATTCGAGCAAAGTAGACTGAAAACATGCTTTATTTTTCACCTTTGAACTGTATTGCTATTGAATTTCAGAGAAGCCGTCCAGTCTATCATCCGAAGACGTCGACTCATTTTGTAATTCTATCTGCTATTAAATGCAGAACATAAGAGAACAACTTTGACCCAAAAGTACATTACTGACTGTGCATACCTACCACCGTAATTAATTTACATAACCCAAAAGCAAAATATAACTGTGTCAAGAACAAATTACACTGGCGGAGATGTTAGGCCATTCCCTTCTTCTCTTTTATGATTTGGAGGCTGAAGAAAAATGGATACTTTACAATTTTTACTCGCTCCTAAAATGCTTCTACCACTCGGGCATGCGCTTTATCTCCTCTCCTTCACTTTCCCACGTGTTTGGTCGTCACGATCCCGCATCCGGTGGCAAAGCGGTTCTAGACGTGACTCGGTCTTCTGTCCCAGAAATATTCACGTGACCGAACGTCACCGCATTTATCGAGCCCGAGATGTAAGAGGCTTCACAGTATATAACAGTTTCTCGGATAGAGGATGATTGAAATGAATTCTGAAAAGTTCCCCGTTATCAAAACTCGGTTTACTCACGACTCGGTTGATTTAAATTAAGGACAAAGCTCTCTTTTATAAGGTCGCACGCATGTAGTTCTTTTTTATTTTAGTCGAGGATAACGTCTAAATTTTGTTGGAGACCTTCTAGGTGGAGGGTTATCATAGTCGTCACCACAGGCGACGAAGATCGTCCGGACCCCCTGAATAGCCCTCAACGTCGTTAATGCTGTAAACAGCGACTTAATGGATCCTCCCCAGTGGGATATTGGCAGTCCCGAGGGTAGAAGTGACATGGGGGAGGAGACTCGTCACAACTGTCAACTCCTGCCTTGTCGTCTTCCTGCAAATGATTGGTGACTTTCTGTGTGACGTCAGCCACAGCGTCCAATTGTGATTAGTATCCGAGGTGATTCGGATGAGAATTTCGATTGATGAAAGTGTCGTGATTCCCTCGTCTGATAATGTAATTTTTATCAGAATAAATTCATCTAAAATTAAGATTTTAACGAATAAAATATATCGTATTGCATCATTTAGGTAAAATCGGAAACGAATTTATATGATTAAAATACCAATATTTTAATCGTTCGAAAAAAGGACATTATTTCTTTTTTTAAATCTCGGCGGGGGTGGTGTGTGGGTCATGTGACACCGGTGCCCTCCTGCCCCTTTTCTCCCCTCGAACTGGCTCTTCTGGTTCTTCAAGGTGAACCTATTTCGTTGACTGGACCATTCAACTGCCTTAATTGATCGAAGACCGAGAACGTGATGGGGGACGGAAAGACGTGCGTGAGGTTTGCGTGAGGGCGGCTTCCGTGTAGTGAGTCGCGTTCCACACCCCTCGTTGTGAAGACACGAACTCTGACCCGAGCGTCAAAAACTGGTGGGAGTTGAAGTTGGCAAACGATCTTCTCGTTTTATATAAATATGTTTTAGATATAAATATCGGTTTTTCCGCAGGGGGCCTTAAAGACAAATCCGGTTGCATTTACGTTAGTTTAAACTAAAAAATAGTCCTTAGAGGCAGAGAATAAAACAGGAGATTTGTTACAGTGATATGATGCGATCTTTGTCTCGAGCTTTAGTTATATCTAGAATGACGTTTGGCCCTATCCAGAAGACCTAAATAGGAAAAGTAAATTAGCAGAATCTTCGAATAGTTTTGAGTTTAACGGAATATTAGTTTAAAAAATATTAGAAGCTAGTTGAATTGCATGAATGATTTTCATCTGATCATCTAGTGTTTTACTAAATATTGAATTTCAGGCAAAAATTGCTGGAAAGCTTTGTTACTTTTCATTTATGAAACAGAACCTTTGCATTGCATATAGAATCTTTAGAAATCGCTGTTTCTTCGTATCATATAGTTACTTTTGTTTTTATTTGAAACAGATTATTAAAGAAGTGAAATATTTCGGTTCCACCTGCCAAAAATGAATCCCTGGAGTTTCACCTGTTAGTAGATTATCTTACTTCTCATACCAAAAATAGCAAATGTTACCTTAACGAATTTGCCATTAGCGTTTTTATAGGGTGAAGCATAGTTTTTATTCTATCGACAGATGGCCAGACACCCACCCTCTGGCAAGGTTATAATCTGGTGCTGTATGTAGGGAGGC